CACATGAGATCTTTTCACCCTACAATTCCTATGACCAAAACACCTGGATTTGATGCAGCATCTGGCAATATAAAATCCTCTGGAGTATGTTTGATCTATGAAAGCCCATTCAAACAAATAAGACAACAGATGAATGGTTTCATATAATCCAACTGATTATGGACTGATTTGCCCGAATCGAAATATTGCAAAGAATAGTTTAATGTTTGGTGGGGTATGTGATTCTAGTCCATTACAATATATTATTTAATAAATCACAAATTATGGTTTAGCACAATAGGTGGAGTCTTATTTTGGCAGTAACCTAATGCTGAAAAATAATAGGAGTTTTCTATAATTGATGCACTGAGGGAAAAGCAGCATCAGAATCCCGATTTATAGGATTGTGAGCATATCTAGAATGCTGAGAATATGTTCTTGGCAACCTGACCAGAGTTACCCAGTTTACTAGAAGGCAAAATGCACCATTTTTCTGGTCTCTGAGAATGTTCTTTATTAGCTCAATTTACCATTGTTTTTTCAGTGAAGAAGGCAAGCACGCTTCTACACAAAGCACTGAACTGTACTCAACCCATCATCATTGGTTTTCTAAAAAAAAATCTCTGACAATATTCATGCAGTTGATGGTCTGGGTCATGTTAGCTTCCAGTTTTGAATGAATAAATGAATCTACATGGGAACCAGGAAAAGGAAAGATCGTGGAGTATGAATTATTTGTAAAAATAATAAAAGGTAGAATATAAACAAAGAAACAAACAAGAGCACCAAACAGCATCACATTGGCAGGTAGACCTTACATCAGTGATGGCTAATCTTCTCCACATTGCGTGCCAAAAGTCAGGGGTGGTTCTGTCCACCTCTGTAGAACCAGTAGCTCTGAAGAGCAGCAGACATAGAACCGGTTCTATGTCTGCTGATATTTTTGCGCACCCGCCCACCCGGGCTCTTACCTGATCTTTATTTCCTGATTTTTCAACTTCAGCTGCCGAACGAGGCACAGCTGCAGTTAAAAAAGCAGGAAAAGAAGGCTGTTTCAAAGGCTGCTTCTCTGCACGCAGCGTGCTGATGACGATTTACAGGTGACAATTTACCGCAGCGTGCAGAGAAGCACATCATAAATCACCGAACCTCTTAAACCCCCGAACCGGTAGTTAACCCTGTCGAATCCCACCCCTCCCAAAAGTGCATGCCTGCATCCATGATGCAATGCACGCGTGACTCCCCCCACGGACCCCCTGCAGCCGCATGCCTCTGCACATGTGTGCACGTCTCCTACGCACATGCGCAGCAGATACCCAACAATCATGCGCAGAGAGGCTCTTCCGGGTCACCTCTTGTGTGCCAGCAGAAGTGGCTCTGCATGCCATTTCCGGCATATGTGCCATAGGTTTGCCCTCACAACCTTACAGGATAAAATGATTCCATTTTAGATAAAACTGAAATTGGATAATTTTATAGATTTTTCCCAATTGTGGAAAATTGTATTTCTTCTATAAGGTAGGAAAAAAATCCCTGAAAACTTGGTAATCCTAGTCAAAATCCAAGAAGCCTCAAAGTAGCAGAATCGGTGTTCTTAACACTATGTCTGTTTGCATGCAGAAAATGTGCTGCCTGAAGTGACAAAGCAGCTTCTCTTGATATATTTCTTTTTAGTGTGATTTATTTAAAACAAAACTGGGACCTTTGCCAACCAGACACCTATACAGATGATTTTGAAAGCAGAGAACTGAAATTTGCAGCCTGCCTGATGTTGCTGGTCTGAATTCACTTCGGCCAAGCCAACGCAGCCAACAGATTTGGGAATTCAACATAAAGAAATAAAGATTCCCCACCTCTGTATTAAAACAATGAATGGATTTCAAAAGACAGCAAACATTTTGTATCATATGTATAATTTCAGGATCAAGATATAAAATGTTAATCAATTATGGAACTCTTGAGTTAATAAGCAATAAAGAAAGATAGCAAATCAAAGATACGCTTAGAAAAAGACTCGATAGGGTCACCTTTCCCACAGTTTTAAAACTTAGTCCAACACTTAGTGGCACCCATGAGTATGATAGCACCCATGATGTCCATGATTAAATGGCATTTATCTAGAAATTAAGCACCATCTTTATGGGAATTGATCTGGGCTGGAAAGGCTTCCTTTTGAAAACAATAAAAAATGATACACCTACAATGCATAGAAATGTGCTATTGAGACATTTTGAGAGAATGCAGAACACGTACTCTTAAAAGTCCATTTTGTTTATATGCACATCTGAGATCAACTCCGCATAGTGGGTAACTGAGGAAGGAACCTGAATGAACTAATACTGCCTTAGTCATGAGGCCAGCTGGGTGACCCTGAACTAGTCCCCTCTGTCAGCCCCAGGTAGGAGGCAATGGCAAATTATTTCTGAAAGATCTTGCCAGGAACACTGCGTGGACTTGTTCAGACAATCATCTAGGAATCGATACTGATTTGGAGGCACAAAAACAAAACAGTCTGCATGCATACAGCAGCGTAGACGCTACCAGATTTTTTTTTTTTAAAAAAAAAACTGATTTCCATCACATACCTATTTGTTTCTTGGTAAGAAAGCAGAAGAGGTTGCTACTACATTCTTTCAGATGGTTTTTCAACTTCCAGTCCAACCCATAGCCCTTCGATTTCCTGGTGCTTTCCCACCTAAATATTAACTTGTTTAGTTTAGCTTTTTTGAGAACAACTAAGGCCTGACAAGAATTGCCACCTACAATGTGACGTTTACTTCCAGGTATATTCAATTTGTTATTAAGCGATCAAGTATAGCATCCGAATGAAATAAGCTATGCATCCCTGACATCCAACTTGGACAGCTGCAGTTTTCTTTCTTTAAATGGACCTTGTTCTGCATTTTCTGGCAATTATAATCTGAAAGGAAAGCATCAAAATTCTGTGAACCTGGCAGTTTAGCACCACAGCAAAACCTATATAGGTTAACTCCTGCCAGAACCTGCTTATGCAAGCAATCAGTGTAATAGAACAAACTTGCACAATAATTAGAAATTCTCTTCCAAGAAACAGAGGAGGGGCAGAATCACAATTTGGAGTCAGAGAGTAGGCAATGGCTAACTGCCCAACCATTAAAGGCACAGAATGAAAGAAAAAACAGGCCTGTTTCTACTACCAGGCAGGTCATCTGTCAGTTCATATCTCCTGTGCAAATCTTTCTGGATTTAGGGACAATTTAACATTAAAATCTTGTGATGTGATTTTCTATGAAGCCCTTTTGCCCAACCAATCACTGCCGATGACAACTCTTCCAAGGTGGCACTGACCACAATGCACACACACACATATACAAATAAAAAACATGCTTTCTTATTAGAACTCTTATAGTTATATGCAAATCTAGGCATGATTTATTACCAATTTTTCCTTTAATCCCATGACACTTTCACTCCACTCTTTTCCTTTAATGTTCCTTTAATACAAACTGGATGCAATTGTCCCAAATACCAAGATTCAAGCACCTGTTGAAATCCTGCCTCCCTCACTATGGTTAGGTAGGAGGTACAGTTCTACTCACAGGAGAATGGAGTAGCAAATTAGTTACCTTGTAATTTCAATACTGCTTCAGTTACTTTTCTTTCTAGAGCATTTTTACAGAAGGGAAAAAAAGGAGGAATCCTCAGAGAAGTCACTTGTATAATCAAAGTGACATATTGTGATTTGATAGACCATATACTAGAGTAATGCATGATCCTCTCCCTACACACACACACACAATTTTATCAAATGACAACGTACTGAACCATGAACCCAAAGCAGGCTAGGATGACACATCACTTAAATGTGTTGCCTAGTTTATGGTTCAGTGTTTTGTGAGAACACAGCCAACTGAGGGTCCTTTAACTAACTTCACAGATAGGTAGGGGGTGCTTGCATGTGCCCTAATACTCCGCCTTCTCAAATTCTGTACATAAAAGATCCAGCATGATTCTGTTTGCAAAGAGCAGGTGAGAAAAAAGAGCTGTCTAAGACATTCTAGAGTCCGAGCTCAAGAGAGTGAACAACTCAAGCTTACTAAGGCAGAGTAGCTAATGCTAGGCTAGAAATAATAAAGGTGTGAAAAACAATTTTTCATGTCCCTGTGCCATATGTGTATGCCTCAGTAGGAAGAGAAGCCAAGGCTGACCCACATTTTCTGAAAAGCAATGTTGGTTGGGTTCAATCATTATTGTAAGCTGTAAAGTGGTTGGGTTCTGGTGTAGAGCACTGTGATAATTCTAATAGTTATCCAACAGGCCACAATTAAGCAAACAGTGACATGATATGCACAAAAAAGCCTATGTGACTACTGTAGTTGAGCTTCCTCCCAACTAACTGTTCCATAGGGACAAATCTCTTAATGTGCCTTCGAGACAGTCATCCGCACAATAATATTGCGAACAGGTTGGCTGTTGGAGGAGCAAAACCCAACTTGTCTCTGATAAAGCACAGTGAATGCAGGGACTCCAAGCAAGTGCTGATCCCCACGCTCTCTTTTTGAGAAACATCTGCAGGCTATTTTATTTATTGATTGATTTGTCAATCACTTACAAAATAATAGGTATAAGTATAAACTTGAGTAAGAATACAGAAAATAGGTACGATTAAATGGGGACAATAGGACAGGGACGGGAGGCAGCATGGTGCACTTATGCATGCCCCAATCTCATTGAATTCAATGGGGTTTACCTCTAAGTAGAGATTAATGGAAGATCACACTGTGTTCGACTGGACTGTAACGTTAGGGTTCTTAGGATTGATTTTACCTTCTGAGGAACACATTCTTCATCATACCTATGTACTAGACAACAACCCAGGTATACCACATGACATGCTTACGATGTTGCCGCCCTGCCGAATCTGGAAAATCTCCTAATACTAACCCCCCCCACACCTTTTTTTTCTTTGCAGAAAAAGATACCGATGTCAGCGTGAATCTCCAACCCCAAATCTGTGCACCGAGACGCTGGAGGGAACTTACGCGGAAACGGTTTTCCCACTGATGATCTCCGCGGAAGGCATGGCGAATGTCCTGACAGCAGCAGTTCTTGCGCTGAGAGAGGCTCCGATGGTGTCAGGCAGGGGTTCAAAAAAACCCCGGGACCCTCCTCCTTCCGCGTGCTAACCCACGTGGCTACAAACTTTGAACTACACCCCCGGGGCGCGAGTTCCCTCGGACAGCCAACCCAGGACACCCTCCGCGGTCCCCCGCCCTCCCCGCCGTCCGCCGGGGGAGGAGAAAGAGGAGGAGATGGACCCGGAGTAGCAGGAACTAACTTCTTCGGCGCGTGCGCGCGCGCGAAGATGCCGCACCACCCCTTTCCAGGGGCGATCCAGGAGGCGTCGTCCTTCCCAGTCGATCCCCGTCGCCCCCTGAGTAGGTGGAGCGATCGTTCCCCTCCTGAAAAAAGCGGGCTGAGAAAAGCAAAACTTAAGGGAGGAAAGCTGTTTCTATTTGTCTCTTGCGCACCTTTTAACCGAGAAGTAAACAAGCTGGTTACAGATGCTTTGGGGAGGCACGCTTTAAAAGCGGACAGACTTCACTTCTTCGGGAGCAGATTGCATAAAATTCACCACTTGGGGGGATCTGATTGCACAATTTGTTTTGCAGATACATCTGAAAAAAAGGACTTTAGGATTTCCCAGAATTCATGCTCGCGCTCTCCCTCTCTCCCCCTCTCTCTGTAAATGATACCAAAACACTACGGGGAAAATTACTTTCACTTAAAAAATAAAGCCTTCTTTGAGTTTATTGGTTTAATTACTGATGATTGGTATGGATTTCTGTATATAACTTCCTCTGGCAATATCCCAGGAGGACGTACTGTAATGGCAAACATAAATTTTGGTATTGTACTGCCTGTTAAGTTTCTTCCTAAAAGCATTCAGGCTGCAGTGGATGTGGACAGTACAGGTAGCCTTCAACTTATGACTACAGTTGAGTTAAGCTAAGCAAGACAGTGGTTCAGTGTTCAGTGAGTTTTGCCCCCTTTTATGACCATTCTTGCCACAGTTTTTAAGCTAATCACTGCAGTTAAGTTAGTAATGTGGTTGTTAAGTGAATCTGGCTTCCTCATTGACTTTGGTTCTCAGAAGGTCACAAAAGGTGATATTTATTTTTTATTTACTTATTTATTGAATTTATATTGTCACCTATTCGCCCATGGCGACTTGAGGCGGCTTACAGAATGTAAGACCATATTTAAAACAAAAAACAATAAAAACTAACAAAAAGAAATAAAGTACTGTTGAAAGGCTGGAAAATGCCTTTCTTTTGAGGATTCGATTTTCCTGCTGGGAGGGCTCCAGTGCAAGGACACAGACAGAGACAACTGCTTAGAAGCGGGTTCCTTTTATTTTTCAGGAAGGCAAGAGATAGCAAGAAGTCTGCGTTCCTGGGGCTAGCCATCTTTGTATATTAAACTCCTCATTTTTATACCTTTTCTCCTTTCGTGTGTGAGTGCTTGTGTTTGTATTTCTTAATGTTTTAAATCCTGTCAGAGGGTTGTCTTCATTTCCGCCAGAGGGTAAACTCTGCGGGGTGGTTTGATTGGATTATCAGTTTCATCCTAATGTTTTCTTATATTTGTTTGGTGGCAATCTCCTGTCTGCTATGGAATTTATTTCGTGTCTTTTGTCTATTTGTTTTGCTGATTTGGCATGACCTTTTGTTTGTAAGGGATTTCTTTTTCTTGTTTCCCTAGCTTTCTTAATTACTTGGCTTTTGTCTAGGGGGCTTCTTTCAATACCTTTTATTAAATCTCTTTTCCTATGCAAGTTTGTTTTATGGCTAGCCTGATGTTCCCTTTGGGCTTTTCCTGCTTGGGTGTCACCACTGTCCTCATGAAGTTCCCTTTCTACAATCCTTCATTATTATTTTTTTAAAGAGGGTGGTCTCTGATTGAATGTCTGGGTATTTGTGATCAATCTGGATCATTATCATGGCTGCCTGTCTCCCCTTTAATTTTCTCCTCTGAGAAGGAATACAGGCCTTTAGGCAGCTAAGGCAGGGTGGTATGCATTGACAGAGGCAACACATGAGGGCTCCAAAGACACAAATGGTGACCGTGGTTTTTATAAGGATTTTGAGCCAATGGAAATCTGGCATCCATGAGAAGAGCCATGAAAAGTCCAGGAATGATTGCTCCTGACCAACATTCTGAGATAGCTCTTTCAGGTGGTGGATGTCCCTCCCTACGAGTTCTGAGGATTCGTCCAGATTAAAGCAACACATCCCTTGGAATTTTTCGCAGCCATAGTTATGCTTCAAGAGAAGGAAGTCTATTGCTGCCCTATTCTCCAAGGTGGCTTCTCTGACCTCCCTCAGTTCTCTGTTAAGGGCATCCAGGGCATGGGAGGTCGAATTCAAGCTTTTTTGCCAGGGTACATGCTAGTCTATTCAAATTTTTAGAATTTCGCACTGCCAATCCAGATACCCCTACCAAGGATATTGCCAATGAGATGTATTCTGTTTTTGTGGGAAGGGAGACTTTGGAATCACAGTCTGAGTCTAGGGTTTGGAAGGCTCTCCTGTGTTGTCTCTGTAAGGATGGCATAAGAATAGTTAACCTTCCCAAGGTGCAGGGGCCATTTGTGGCATTTGCAGGAAGGTATGAGTAGGCTTTTAAGCCACAAAGGAAAAACCATCCTGGTGGGAGCTTCAGGTAACTATATGAAAATGATATGGTCTCTGTATAGTTGCATTTTAGTTCTGTGTTGCTAAGACTGGTGCATTCTGTGACCCTAGGTGTGCTGCACCCAGTGACATTATGATTTCCCTCCTGCTAAGTAAACGTTAGTGGTGTTGAGTATTTCTCTTGCTAAACATTCCCATATGTTTTCCTTTCTCTGGGATAAGCTTTGGTTCCAGGAACGCAGTTGCTTGTGTTACAAATGTTACAATTATTACAGATAATAATAATAATACATAGAATATATTGCATTTCATTTTCCCCATTGCTTGATTCCTTTTCTTCCCTTCCTCCCCCCTCCTCTTTTTTTTTTTAATAGCAATGTAAAAAAATGTAAAAGGTCAAGTATCAAAAAATTATGAGTAAGGTATGGTTAAAGTTCTTTTTGTTAAAAAAAATACGATGAAAAAAGGTTTAAAAAAAAAAGGAAAAAATGGAGAAGGTGAGACAAAAATTAAAAAAAAATAGTTTATAACTCAGCACCTGAGAGTCCAGTTTTATGTAATGCAACCTTTGCACTTGGTTCCTCACAGTGGTGTGGTTCAACAGTGTTGAAGAATGCTGCAAGCGTCCATTGATCTGTGTCCTGATCTTTCTTGAGTTTGATGGGTGGGATTGATTGTGGTGGAGTTTGGCTATGGTCTATGACTGCTGGCTTTGCATGTGTCCAATGTAGCCAAAAGTCTCATTCTGCAAACCTTTATGGCGGTGTGTGTAGTCAGTAAAACTTGGTAGAGTCCTTTCCACCTGGGTTGTAGAGAGGAGGTTCTGGTGAAGAACTTGATCCACACCCAATCTCCTGGCTCATATGGATGCAGGGCTTCTTCCAGGGGTAAGGTCTGTGTCAGCGCACTCTGGGTCCAGAGGGTCTGTAGTCTCTTTTGCAGGGCTGTAAGATAAGAAGAGAGAACCCTATCCCCCCCTATCTAAGCAAAAGGAATGAGGATCTAGGCTGAGAATGAGGATCCTAGTAGGGTATGGGGGGGTGACCAAAAAGGATCTCAAAGGGGGGAAATACCTATATCTTGTCTTGGTCTGGTTCTGAAATAAAAGAGGGCAATTGGGAGCACTTGTGGCCAGGAGAGATGTGTCTCCTGACAGAGTTTGCCCAGTAGGGTCTTCACCTCTTTGTTTGCTCTCTCCATGGCTCCTTTAAGTAGTCCCACTTCTGATGCATCCCAGCCCCATAAGGAGGATGGCAGGCTTTTTTGAATCTTCATGAAGCCCTGTGTTGCTGGTTGTCAGCATGATTGTCTTGTGTGTGCCTTTTCCTGGGATTTCCAATTGCAGCCCCTGTTTTTCACATGTTATGGTAGCTCCCATTTTACATAGGAGATCCCTTCCTAGTAGAGACAGTGGGGACTGGGGGCAAATAGTAAATGCATGGTCTACTGTGAAAAGTCCTAGTTCTACTGGTACATTGTGGGTAAATTCTACAGAGATTATTCCTCCCCCCACTCCCATTATGCTATCCTGAGCCCCTTCAGCCACTGAAGCTTTATATGGTGGTTCAGTAATGAGGAGGTGGCTCCAGTATCAACTAAGCAATTGTATTTCTTTCCTCCTATAAGAATGGTTACAATGGGTTCCCCTTCTGGGCCATTTTCTAGGGGGATAGCCAGCCCGTTAAAGGTAGCCATGAATTCAGTGCTTTCATTGTCATGTTCTAGTCAAGAAGGGGGTAAATCTTGTTCTCTCCTTTGCTCCCATTGATGTCTATTGTTATTATTTTTTGGAGGAAAGGGAGCGCTGGGTGGTGCCTGGTGACTGAAGCTTTGTTGCTCAGTGTAATGGACTGGATTATTGGCTGGCCTCATGTTCCTAGGTGGTGGGTGATACCGGTTGCGGGGGGCGGGGGGGGGGGGGGG